AACTACTACATCATCGGGAGATATTACTGGGATATTTATTGAGTTCATTGGACATAGTTTAAAAGGATAGTCAATGTTAGCATGTGAGTTAATGGAATAATTGGATTTAAAAAACTGAGCGAACATGTTAGAAATTGTTTTGTTACTTCATTGCGAAAGGAAACCCACATACATTTCGCTTGGAGTTTACGAAGTCATAAAATGATTTGGGGTTATATATTATACGCCGTTTGATTTTACACAAGTAAGCTTTATAACACTTTTTGTTTGATTCAAAAAAGTTATGACGCAAAAGTGAGTATTTTACATAGTATGAGTGTAAACGGTTTTTTTTTTTTGTAATCAAAAATACCGCGACTTTCTGTTGTTCAAATTTCTCAGTTCTTTAGTGAACCATAACTGTGTTTGTTCTCCAGGAACATACATGCGTTTAGGCACATGCTTTTCAAATAATTGATGTAAAGTAAAGTTAACAAGTGCAACGCTTTGTTCAATATTTTCTTTATATGCAAGCCACGACAATTTAGACAGTTCTTTGTTAAGCATTTTAAAGTTGGCTTTCGAAAAATCAAAGCTAATATTTGGTTCGTATGCTTAACCATCACTTATAACCTCGTAAGATACCTCCATAGCAGGGTGGTAGACATCTTCGGGCAAAACTAGTGGATCACGCTTACAACGGACTTAGATGCATCATCAACATAAACAAGATCTAATACATTACCAAACTTGTTGTGAAGTACATTAACCTGAGTTAGGCAGAGTTCAGCCATCTCCTCTAAAAATACGTTGTTGCCCGCACTAGACGCGAAAGGTACGATATCATTGTCAATGATGTTCCATGATATGCTTGGTAAATTAAAATCACCCAACACAATCATTGATTTCAGTAAAGAGATGAGTCGTGAATACACCAATGTGTCAGATCGGGGAGGGATATAGCACAGAGCTAAGTAAATAGACCCTTTTCCAGCCTGTACACGAATGCATTTGAATTCTACTGAATCAATGTGTGGAAGACTACCCTGCAAGAACAGTGACTATCATTTGACAAATCATTTGAGTGGCAAGACTGATAGAGATTTCTGTCACTGGCTACCTACAAGTTTCTATCAAATTCTAAAGATCAGTGTGAAAAATCTGATGTAAACATTTGTGTACATGTGATCTTCCGTCTTCCTCCAACTTATGGCCTTATTTAATGGTCTCTTTTTAACCAACGCAGAATTTGCAAATGTGTTAGTAAGATAAATGAGAATGTGTTAGTTTCCATCCCACAATTCTTGTAGGGTAACTTCTTCAGATCGTATTGAAGAGATTACAGCGAAGTACGCCACCGCCGATTCTGTCCTCCCTATCTTGTCTATAGATATGATAATTATTTGGAAGAATCTCTGAATTGAAAATGTGAGGTTTCAGCCAAGTTTCAGTAAAAGAAAGAATATTATAATTACATTCAAGGCCTTTAAGGTATAAGTTCGTTAATTTAGTATTTAAGCCTCTTACATTTTGGTAATAAATATTTAAAGCAGATTTAATAATTAGTTTTTTGATTCAGTGTTATGACGGGGAATATTAGCTAAGTTATTTACTCTTTTGGGCCTATATTCGAATTCACGAATGAAAGCTCCGGGGGGCCAAAAAGAACTACTAAGCAGCGCATTAAAATTATCTAAATTTACGTAAATTTTAAATGAAGCAATCAAATCTTTCTTTCGTAATTAAAATTAAATTTTCTGATGCCTAAGTCGACAGTTGTAATTTTTGATGAGATATAAAGCTTTATATCATCTTCGGTAGTGTCTCTCGAAAATCTAGAAACAAAGATTGACTTCTTTGGCGGAACCACCACTAGTTTCCTTGTATCAGACTGGAGTACCGGCGGAAGGGGTTGAGTTACTGCGTTAGTAGTTGAGGATAGGGAAGGCGGTGGAGGCTTTGAAGATGATGCCACCACTTCAATGGGGGAAGGGGAAGATACTTCAGGCTCTTTATTATCCGAAGCAGATTTCGTTACACGCTCTTTTGAGGCTGAGGATTCTGATGCTGGAGGACACGGAGAAGATAAATTAATTAAGTCAGTCGGAAGATTATTCTGACGTGCAACGGCAGCAATTTCCTTAGATGGACTATGAAGACGCTTACGTATAGACACACGGATATCCTTAACAGATTGTAAGGTATCTAAGCATTTGAATGATTTAAACATGTTTTCATAATGCTTAAATTTTTCTGTCAGTACCGACAATTCTCTTCCTATTTCTGTTAAACCATTTCTGGTTTGCCTAAATAGCTTGAAAAGATCAACTTCGGTTGATCTGCACTTTACGCAAGACCAGCGAAGGCCCTTGCCATCATTAATAGCGTCCAGAATTCTTCCCGTCAAACCAGCACATTTCAGATGGTAAATACCATCACACAGCCAGCACGATAAGTAGCGTTCAGAATCGCTTTTAATTTGGCAAGTATCAAGATCACACTTTATATTGAAAGATTTATGTAATACACTCGTTAATAAAAGACAAACAAAATAAATTATAACAATTAAGGAGCTGATGTAAATAGCTATAAATAAATGTAGCGAACAGTTTGAGTATCACTGTAACTATGACACTTAATAAACGCAACGCAACCAGCTGTGCCAAGAATTGCCAGAAGAAGTAAACAAAAAGAGTAGAACAAATGTGCAAAAACAAAATGAATTCAGTTAACTACAAAGGATACAACAACAATGATAGCCACAAATGACTCGGCAAGATTAGAATGTATGCTAGTGGAATTTAATTAAATTTACTTTAATATAAAACACAATAACTTTCACTTAGCTTCAATTACACTGTGAAACAAATTCAGGTCAGCAAAAGTTGTCGATTCTGAGAGTGAGGTGTGAAAATAGAGGCTAAATTGGAAGACCCGTATCGCGGCGTTTGTTTATGTTAGTTCGAATTTTTTTTTAATCGACCTTCGAACTTTGCAGTCAAATGCAATAAATTTCTTCCCCTTCTTCCTCTTTTTCCTCGTCTTCCTCTTTTTTGTTTCCAACCACCGCACAGGTAGCGATTTTTATTTATTTCGTACAAGCGAACTAATATCAAAAATAAAGATTCAGTTAAGACTCGAAACTCAGCCGAAGCTGATGTCTTTTAATTTTCGCTCGGCCGTGATAAAATTCGCTATTAATTTTTATGGAACTTATTTCATTTTGTGAGTGATTTAAGTTAAGTGCATCGGTTTCATGAAAATAACAAAAACAACATTGTATAATATATATTGTATTAAAAATGTCGGAACCAAAATGTAAAATTGACCTTTTTTGTAATGTTTGTGGACGTTTCATAGCAAGCGATGAAAAATGTGGCAATGCGAGTGATTGTTTTTAGGAAGCCTATAAACAATATTTCTTGCAAGAGTTTATCACTGACGTAAACTATGCCCCTAAAAAATTTTGCTTTAATTGCTATTCAAGTGTTATGCAATGGAAAAGTGAAAGGAAGAAGGCTATGCCTTTTGGTATACCAATGATGTGGTTAGACAACAGCCCGCATCAACAAGAAAATTGCTATGGATGTATCAACTACCATAAAACTTTGAATAGAAGGAAAGCAAAGAATAAAACTTATGTAGCAGTGCCAAGTGTCCAATTACCATTACCGCACTCAGAATTCGTTCCAGTACCAACATACCGAAGTATTGATCTTCAAACAGATATCAGTACTACAACCGCCGCTGCTATATCCATGCATTTCTTCTCAGAATACGACCCTGGTGAAGGTACATCCTATGAAACATCAAAGGACCCAATCCTAGTCACACAAAAGCAATTGGATGCAACTGTTGTAATTTTGTGTTTGACTCAGAAAAAATCAGAACAACTGGTGCGAAATAAAGTCAATTGACATTATTACCTTTTCAAAAGCGAAATAAAGTCAACAAAAATTTCGAAATAAAGTCATTGACGCTATTTCCTCATTCAAATGGAAATAGCGTCAACAATGCTTAAAGTATATCGATTCATAGAAAAAAATGTTGTTCTTACAATAAACATTGCCCCGTAAGTGTTGTGATATTAATCCACACACAATCATGAACTACCACCATTTGATTTCATTAAAAAATTTTAATTACGAATATGTAAAAACACGATGCGAAAAACTAAACGCCTGCGCCCTGCTGGAATACGAGAAATATTTGAAGAAAGAGTGTAGAAATGACCCATAACATGCAAAAAATGTTTCGTTTCCACAAAAATAAAGCGAACATTATTAAATTGAAGAAACAGTACATGTCCAAAAACCCCGGAGGAACACTGAAAGAATTCTGTGTTTTAAATTAGCATATTTTGAACGAATTCGGAATGTCTAAGGTGGAAAATAAACCAACTTTTCTATAAGGAATTAATTATAGAAAATGAATTTTCTTACACTGTATTCATGTCCCCGCCACCAATTTGTGACGACATCATTTAAAAGCAGCTAAGGAGAATGACGACACTATTTATTAGATGGCACATTCAACGAGCCAATGTGCCAAAATGCGGGTATAAACAATTATTGATTATTTAATATCGGAACCGAGATCATATAAGTTAATTGATTTACGGAAAACTAATGAGTCGTCAAGATTTTGACCAAGTTCTGACAGACCGAGAATTAAATGCATGGCTCGCATTGAAAGCAGTCATTAAAGGACTTTTGGGTAAAGAACGCAAAGACAACTACAGGCAATCTGTTGCAAACATGTTGGCAGCTTTCGATGAAATTGGGGTTAATATGTCGTACAAAATCAGGGACCGATCATAACAGTTATTGATGAAATCTGTCATGGAAAAATTCACTATGAAGGAAATGTTCTACAACTAAGTGAAACATACCAATCGATTTCATTTTGCACCGAGACTCAAATTTGAAAATAAATTTTTATTTGCAATTTTTATGCAAAATTTAAAAAAATAACAATTATATTTGATTTTTATATTATAAATCCAAAATAACAATTATTTTTGATTTTTATATTATATGGCTGAGATAACAGTTATTGAAGAGTTTTATTTATAAAAGTCATCAATAAAAATCAGTCAGTGACTTTTAAAAAATAATGTGACAATGTGCTCTTATGTTCCCAAAAAAATAAAGCAGTAATTTTGCTTTCGACCATGCATAATGATGCTGAAATAGCTGACAGTGGGAAACCTGAAATAATTGAATATTATAATCGTACCAAAGGTGGTGTTGATCGAATGGACCAAATGTTTGCGGAATATCCAACACAAAGACAAACAAAACGATGGCCACTAGCGATGTTCTTCAACATGTTGGACATTACAGCTCTTGCAGCCTACATTGTCTACGATTTGAATAACCCTATGTTGCCTTGGAGAACAAACAACAAGCGTAAGCAGATCCTGCGCAGCTTGGCTGAAGCATTGTGTATGCCCATTATTGAAGCCAGAGCCATAAATCGTCAAGTGACGCGAAATTTTTCGACTAAAATTGCTATTGAAGCATATTTCAACCGACCGGTGGAATCAATGGTGTCAACAGCAGCATCAACATCTGCCGCAGCGCGCACGCCAAAACCTGTGTCCGGATCTTGCTATTTATGTTACGCACAAGAGGAAAAACGCCGTAGAAAAACCAGAAAGCTGTGCGACAAATGTAAGAAGCCAATGTGTCTTGAACATTCGGTCACATCAACAAATTGCTCTATTTGCCATGATTTTCCTTAGATATAAGATGCATTTTTATAATTTTTATAATAAAAGTCAATAATATAATGTGTGAAATGAATATTTTTAATTTTTCAAATAAAAAAATAATATAAAAAATGTTTTTTTTTTTATTATTATGAGGATTTTTACTATTGGGGTACAAACGTATCCCGGGTGTGTGTTTACGTATATAATGTGTTTGGAAGGCTGTAGCTCCTGAACCAATGGTCCGATCTGGTTCAAATTTTGAATTTGAACTCAAAACTAAATAATCTTCCTAGATCCCTTAGCGGTAGATAGTTAGCGGTATAGAGGTATAGCGGTTCAAAAGTTACAACACTTCAAAGTTGAAAGTGGATACATTTGTACCCGGGTGTGTGTTCTAGGGTTAAGCTGGAAAACGCAAGTTTTTTATTATGATTGATTTCTTTTCAAATGAATTTTATTGAAGAAACTGATAAGCATATTATAGATCAAACAGAAAGCAAAAAAGACTTAGTTTTGTGGAAAATATGTTCAAAAAGCATGAAAACAAAATTTTCCAACATTTTGCTTCATAAGCACTACAAAAATTTTCTAAATCAATTTTTTTTTTAATTTTAATTGTTGCACAGGTCTCTAGCAATAATTTGGCTTTAACAGATTGAAAAATATCAATTAGTCGACGAGTTATAGCCAAAAAACCATATAAACAATATGCTGAAAATCGGCATTTGACTGCAAAGTTCGAAGGTCGATAAAAAAAATTCCAACTAACATAAACAAACGCCGCGATACGGGTCTTCTAATTTAGCCTCTATTTTCACCCCTCACTCTCAGAATCGACCTAACTTTTGCTAACCTGAATTTGTTCCACAGTGTTACTTCACACTATGATGCTCATAAGCACTTTTTATCACTACTTTAACTCAGAATTAGCAGAATGAACTTAGTAAGTAGAAAGCCAAAATCAGAGCACAATAAAGTACAACCTCACAGCTTGACGTTTGCTAGTTACATAAACTTTTGCTTTTTTAATTTTAATGCTTAAAACACTATAAATTGTATTACTAAGGAGTAATTTTTTTGTAAAATTTTTTTTGTAAGAAAAAATTTGCATATTTTTTTTTAAGTGCTTTTTCTCCAATGTTTATATACGAAGTATACAAATATGCATATTAGATGAAAGGGGGTTTAATCGCTTTAACAACGATGCCAATTTTTTAAAAATCGGAGAAAAATTTGTTTGTTTAAAATATTTTTTGATAAAAAAGTTATTTTTTCCTTTTAAGTGTTTTTTCTCACATTTTTATGTTTAAAATATAGTTTTTTATACAAACAAAGGTATTTTTTCCTTTAAATGTATTTTTTCTCAAATTTTTATATACGAAGTACACAAATATGCATATCACAAGAAAGGGGGTTAAATCACCTTTACAACGATCTTTTGAAAATCAGTTCAAAATTTTCTGAAATATTAAGTTTTTAATTTTTGGACGTAATATAAGTTTTCACAAAAAAAGTAATATACCATATAAATAAGAGAAAAGGGCGGACCGCGTCTGTATGTTTACTTTTTTTTTGCTTTTTAA